GAACGTTCACTAGCATGGGAACCTAGTCTGACTCAATCATCAACAGCCATCACTCACCCGCCACTCTGCTCTCCTCTACTCCAAACATCATCTGCATCTTACATCAGCGTCCTACTATGCACACCCCCACGACGCTCTTCCCGTCCCATTCACACCCTGTGGCACTAACTGTTCCACTTACACCCCGTGGCATTGTACCTCTCACCCCAGAGACATTGCATCTACACCAGTGGAAACCTTCACAATATTTTCAAGTCGTGCTATTAGTTAATACTGGTGTTTTTTTCTAGAATATTGATGCAGTGGCCCTTCCCCTATCCCCGCGGCCTGACATACACCCCGTGTTATTAATTCCACATCTCCTGCTTTACCATTTGATGGACCGGTGGGAAGCAGGTTGGAGAGGAAAGGCGCTCTAAAAGTGAGGCAACTTCGTTGCAACACTCTCTCTAGCAATAATTTTTTAGCATGTAATAAATTTGGGAATTATACAATTAATGCCGCTAATATCTATAGCTATAGTTAGCAGCACTCTACAGGAACATGCAGGACTTTATGCAATTAGATAAAGATAAGAATTTGTAAAGGAAGTAATAGCTTAATACTACCCAACAATCTTGTCTCTCTGGGTACAATTTTATGCTTGATCAAACAACAAATTTAGTGCCTGTGAGAAAATAACTATAATCGCGTTTCTTAAAAGATTTAAATTCACATATAATCGACGGCGTATGCAGGAGGAACTTGACAAAGCAGCATCTGCGGAACAAAAGCATTAAGTGTAAACTACATAGTGAAGTATGGGAAGGTTTGTGAAGGTGAGAGAGGAGAGTTTACCTTTGGGACAGTGACACTTGTAGGAGAGGGAGTCCCTGGCCTCGCAGGTGCCACCGTTGTTGCAGGGCGATGGCTCACACGGTACGTACCGGCTCTCACAGTTGACACCTGTGTACCCCACATCACAGTTACACCTGTAATAAACACATACCGTGTATCAGGTACCTGTGACAAGTAGTACTGCGACAACCCCTTGGTGCATTCATGCTAAGTATAGTTCCATCAGGTGTTGGTATGGCTACTGGCGGCAGCAATGAACCTTGCGCGCCCTGATCTACCGCTATACCATCCTTATCACAGTGAATTGCTTCAATACGCTGAACTTACACGAAGACCCCAATGTGTGGGTGACTTACTGACACACTAACGACGATGAGAACGTTGAGAGGATCACACTAACTAGGTCAACAATCATAGTGTAAGTTACGGACTGGAGACGGGCTGGGAGGTTCCTGCTACGCTACACACTGGGTCACCCCCTCACAGTTACACAACTTCACGTCTCTTAGTATCTACTTGTGTACCACTCGCTAGCCTTTCCGGTTTCACAGTTTTTCTTCAGCAGATTAACTAAGCCGGTAATCTCTGTGTATAAGTCAATTAGGTAGCAGGTGCCTAGCCAAAGTTAATGATCAGAATGGGTGCTGGGAGCTGGGAGGTGCTGAAGGCGTGTGCGAGAGCGACTGGGGGCTCGACTCAGCTGCTGGCGATGAAGCATACGACCATGCTGAGCTGGACTTCCTCTCCCCACACCACCTCCACACCTCTACACTAACTTCCACACCTTCGATACACCTCTACACTAACTTCCACACCTTCCCTACACCTCTACACTAACTTCCACACCTTCCCTACACATCTACACTAACTTCCACAACTCCCCTACACATCTACACTAACTTCCACACCTTCCTTACACATCTACACTAACTTCCACACCTTCCCTACACATCTACACTAACTTCCACACCTTCCCTACACATCTACACTAACTTCCACACCTTTCCTACACATCTACACTAACTTCCACACCTTCCGTACACCTCTACACTAACTTCCACACCTTTCCTACACATCTACACTAACTTCCACACCTTCCGTACACCTCTACACTAACTTCCACACCTTCCCTACACCTCTGCACTAACTTCCACACCTTCTCTACACCTCTACACTAACTTCCACACCTTCCCTATACCTCTACACTAATTTCCACACCTTCCCTACACCTCTACACTAACTTCCACACCTTCCCTACACCCTCCAACAATTACTACTCTTCCCTCTTACATTAAATCCTATTCAGCTTGAGTTGTGATATCTGGTAAAAAAAAATATGGTAGTAATTTTCAGGAAATGTAAATGCAGAATATAACTAATGTGTGGGGGGATAGGCACCGCAGGATGGGCCTGCGGTACCCATCCTCAGGCCAGGATGAGTACAAGCTAGGATAGGTATTGCAGGCTAGGATCTATACCGTAAGGTAACTGCAGGCTGGGATAGATAGCATAAGGTAGGATGTGACCTGCGCTGAATTCTATACCTGACACAAGCATATGTGGCTTTACATAAACATATTACCAACGAAACTTTAAAATGGTACTTTCGGAGATGCTACCTGGAAAATAATGGTTGTAAAATACTTGATTTTTAATAGCGATAAATAAAGTAAAATGTTTAAAGGGAAAAAAGTAATTAAGAAATTACATCCTAACATCGTACCTTATATCATAATCCGTAGATATTACAAAGTAACTTGTGCTTGTGGTGATTTTGTCAGACTTCCTCAGACTAGACGAAGGTGATGCTAGTTCAGCCCAGTCAGTGCCCGGCCTTCCACTAATACATCCTATTACATCAAACCACTTCCACCTACCACTTACACTTGCGGCAAGTGAATCCGCATTGATTATTCGTTACTAAACAACAATAAGACATTTATTGAATTTTAAACTCTTCAAAAGTTTTACTTTACCACAAGGACAAGCATGAGTTCTTACGTGTAAGATCCAAAGGTGTTGCTACAGGTGCCGTGTCGACAGGGATGAGCTTGGCACTCGTCGACATCTGTGGTGCAGGTGGTGCCGGTGAAACCCGGCGGGCAGGTGCAGGTGTAGGTGTTGCCCGGGGAGTGACAGGTGGCCCCGTTGCGACAAGGTTTGGAGGCACAATGGTCAACCTTCTGGCACTGGTCGCCACGGAATCCGGAGGGGCACTGACAACGGTAAGTGTCAAGGGTAAGCAGTTGGCAGGTGGCCCCGTTCATGCAGGGGTCCGAGTCGCAGGCGTTGGCTACCGCGATCTCGCACAGCGACGCCTGGTAACCCACTGGACACTTGCAGTCGAACTTGGGTCCGGACACTGAGAGGATCACGTTACAGGTGCCGCCGTTCTGACAGCGAGGGCCTGGCCCGTTGCGACAGGGGTTCAGGTACTGACAATATTCGCCCACAAATTCGTCCGTGCACCTGCAGGGGGAAAGAAACACACCATTAATACACATTATACTATATACTTATACTATATAATAATATTTCTAGTCGTGCTCGTGACATACTGCTGCTGTCCACATACTGTGTGGACAGCACCATGTACTCTCCTAGTTGTGCTTGCGGGGGTTGAGTTTTGGCTCTTTGGTCCCGCCTCGCAACTGTCAATCAACTGGTGTACAGATTCCTGAGCTTCTCGAGCTCTATCATATCTTCATTTGAAACTGTGTATGAAGTCAGCCTCCACCACATCACTTCCTAGTGCATTCCATTTACTAACTACGGGGTGAGAATAGCTTGAGCTACCTCATCCCTTTGTGTGTATTTTACCTCAATAAACTTATTTCAATTTCAATTTACTAACTACTTTGACACTTTTGATGTTAGCCATACTTTCATACGCCGCTGATGTTATTCTTTTGATGTGGGTATCAGGAAACAGGTTTGGCGTGATATCAACTCCTAGATCATTCTCTCTGTCCGTTTCATGAAGGACTTCATCTCCCATTCGGTATCCTGTGGCTGGCCTCATGTTTCCTCTGCCTAGTTTCATTACCTTACATTTACTTGGGTAGAACTTTAGTAACCATTTGTTGGACCACTCCTTCAGTTTGTCTAGGTCATCCTGTAGCCTCATACTATCTTCCTCTGTCTTAATCCTCCACATTAATTAATGTGACCTACTGAGAGTGTGGAAATATCTTTCCGGCATTGTTAACGAGACAACTCGGGGTGTAAGTGGACTCTGTGACTCCCAGAAGCAAAGTCTTGGTAAGACGGAGTAATATATGTTCATTTAGCGAGAAGTGACCACTTAAGAGGGTCAACGATCCCAGAGAAGATGAGGCGGCCACATCACGCAATCTCCTCGCGCTTGTTCCTACAATGCCACAGTCACCCCTCGCTCCTTCCTTACCCTACAGTACCTTGCGAGAGTTCCAAAGATCAACGTTCTCGCGGCCCGGTCTCTGATCGGTCCTCCAGGTATAATTTAGAGGTGTTTGTTGAGTTCTCTTTTGAGAACTCAACCAGGCCAGTTATGCCCATAATGTGTAGCAGGATAAAGTTGGATCATTGATCTTCAATGTGGTCAGGGGATCATTGAAATAAGAGAATCGTAATGTAGCCTAAGCATTATCACTATCACTAAGTACATAAATATCACTAAATTATGTCGTCTGTGAAAGTTCCGTCACCCGTCTACAAAGGCCCAATGTAGTTTTTGTTCTAGATTTTGCATAGGCGAATGCCATAGCCACTCCTCCCTCCCTCAGTCCATTCCCTTAACCCAGACAGCGTGAGGTCTTCAGGCAGCGTGAGGTCCTTGCACTGGGCATTACTGATGACCCCCGCCCACACTACTCCCCTCCACACTAACCATCCCATCTACACTACTTGTCCAGGGAAAGAACCCCTGTTGCTTGCAGGGTCCCGCAGGATCACATATCCACTACAACCCAGTTCGGTCCTTCACTTCCTGCATGAACTTATAGTCTAATTGCTTCTTGAACACCACTTGTATTCCGACAATATTTCCTATATCTGTCGGATGGAAGTTGAAAAGCCGTGGACCTCTGGTGTACATACAGTGTTCTCTAATCGTGTCAGCTCACTACTCCCTCTCTCTGCGAAGCGAGGCACCTCACCTGCCTAACCCTCAACCAGTTTGTCCAGCCTTGTGATCAACCAGACTGTTGGGTTTGATCAACCAGACTGTTCTCCAGGCTGGAATACCCAATATTCCAGCCTGATGGATTTATATAGCTATGAATAAAGGCTGTGAGGTGGGAGAGAACTGGCAAACCAAAGCCTTTTAGATCAAGTTATCACAACGGGTTTGGGATGGGGGAGAAGAACAACTCTCAGAAGCCAGTCCAGGACCCCAGCTTCAGGTAAAGGTGCACAAGATGGGTCAGAGTGTGTGGAACAGCCTGGTGGGGGGAGGAGGAGGAGCCGGCTGGCGGAGACCACTCAGCTAGAAGCCACATGCGCCTCGTACCATGTTTGAGGGTTTGGCCAGTGTTATGCATGGCTACCCCACTATACAGTCTGGGCACGGCGCTGGCCCCGCGCAGGTCATGTGGAGAAAAATCAATGATTTCCAATTCAAACGCAAATGTCTGGAAAATACAGCTTGGAACCGAGCAAAAGAGTCAATTGTTAACTTTCTTAATTATTTGAATTCCCCCCCCCCCCCCCCCCACACACACACACACAGATGTGAGGGAAAGAGGAAAATTTGCACAGCGTAAGCTTACATTTATATTACTTGATAAAAAGGGGGGACCAGGCGTGAGGAAAGGTGACAGAGGTACAGTGATACGACCACAGTCGTGGACCGAGGGCATGACGGTAGACAGAGAAAAGCTAAACTCCTAAGCCAATATGTAAAGAGTATTAAGGGTCGATGTCGCAAGAGTGGTGGACGCCATCTTAGTGTTGGAAATAACCAACAGTCTATTCTCCCTTAACTCCAAATAACTCCTAAGACAAGCAAAAAGTAAAGAAGCGCGCGCTCCCGCTGCAGGCTAAACTAGCCAGTGTAGTTCCTTTATATAAAAATGAGATAAGGAGGATCCTGGAGCATACCTGGATGGGGGTTCTGGGAGTTCTTCTACTCCCCAAGCCCGGCGGGAGGCCAGGCTTGGCTTGTGAGTTTGGTTAAGCTGGCTGTTGCTTGGAGCGGCCCGCAGGCCCACATATCCACTACAGCCCGATTGGTCCAGCACTCTTCGAAGAAAACTATCTAGTTTTCTCTTGAAGATGTCCACGGTTGTTCCGGCAATATTTCTTATGCTCGCTGGGGAGGATGTTGAACAACCGGGGACCTCTGATGTTTACAGTGTTCTCTGACAGTGCCTATGGCACCTCTGCTCTTCACTGGTTCTATTTTGCATTTTCTACCATATCGTTCACTCCAGTATGTTGCTATTTTAGTGTGTAGATTTGGGACTTGGCCCTCCAGAATTTTGCATGTATATTTGACACCTTTCTCGTCTTCTTTGTAGAAAGACTTAGATATGAATAATAACAAAAGTTTAGATATTAATTTTGAGTATTAACACTTTTACCATTACTAATGATACGAAAGGCAGGGCTTAGGAGCTGATGCCAGCTTCCACCAGTCGTGTCATGTGCCCACGGTGTCATTCGCGTGTACAAACAAATTAACAATGCTAAATGTAATCTGTTTCACAGTAAAAACTCTTAAGAGCTGATAATGATATAAAGCACATTGCTTCCTTCAGCCAGATCCTCTGCGTCGTTGTACGCGTTGGATGACACGACTAGGGGTAGGGGGGGGACCCCAGGAGAGCTCTTGCCCGTATGGTGGCACCAAGAGCGATCAGCGCACGCCGCTGTGAACCCTATCCTCCCCCTCCCTACGGTTGAGGACAACGATGCAAGAAGAGCTGGGCAGGGGAGGTTCCCACGCCAATAATTGAGAAGCAATATTCCCGAGGGGCGAATGACAGATGATACGGCATACACACACACCTGAGAGGGTATCGTCTGACACAGTCACGAGTGCCACTGCTAATAATCCTCATGATTTAATCACACACAAGCCACACTACTATCACCAGGATCAACTCTTTTCTTTATTACATCCTTTATCGTAAAATGTGCGCCAACAAAGAACCTCGGCGCACTTTCTCATGCAGAGGGCGCATGCAACAAGCAGTAGAAGCATCAACATAAGCAATGACAGTCAACCACCGAGGCAGAAGTGACTGTAGAGCATAAAGGCAGCATTAGCAAGAGCTTCCACAACAGCATGTGATGAGGACTGGCTGTCCACTAGTACAGACACAGGCGGCAGTAACGCAGTAGCGGCATCAAAGCGCTTCGGTACACACATGAAAATCAGAGATACTAACTGCAGCAGTAAATCGCTCAGGATGGCGACCACAAAACATTGTCAATTGTGCCTCATAGATCATTGTGTTATATGGATCCGTTTACCCCGCACAGCAGTGTACTAGAGACCAGTGCGCCACACACACACACACACACACACACACCAGTGTACTAGAGACCAGTGCACCACACACACAGACCAGAGCACCACACACACCAGTGCACCACACACACACACACCAGTGTACTAGAGACCAGTGCACCACACACACACACACCAGTGTACTAGAGACCAGTGCACCACACACACAGACCAGAGCACCACACACACCAGTGCACCACACACACACACACCAGTGTACTAGAGACCAGTGCACCACACACACAGACCAGAGCACCATACACACCAGTGCACCACACACACACACACCAGTGTACTAGAGACCAGTGCACCACACACACAGACCAGAGCACCACACACACCAGTGCACCACACACACACACCCCAGTGTACTAGAGACCAGTGCACCACACACACACACACCAGTGTACTAGAGACCAGTGCACCACACACACAGACCAGAGCACCACACACACCAGTGTACCACACACACACACACCAGTGTACTAGAGACCAGTGCACCACACACACAGACCAGAGCACCACACACACCAGTGCACCACACACACAGACCAGAGCACCACACACACCAGTGCACCCCACAGACCAGCTGGGGAGGGAACACCGCCATACCACATACCGGCAAGTGATGGTACAATTGATTTAGAGAAGCGAGAGGCACTCCATGCAGGAGAGGGAAGGGTAAACCAGATGCGACACTCGGGGGGAGAGAGAGAGGGGAGTGGTCGAGGGGTAAGTGATATTGAGGGGAAAATATTACACAAAAATACAAAGATAAAATTGGCCAGAGGGGAACTGTTGGTAAATGACACTAAGGAATCTATGAGACAAATTACAATAAAGAGGAGGGTGAGGGAGAGTGAGGGGGGTGGGGTGAGGGAGAGTGAAGGGGGGGGGGGGTGAGGAAGAAGGTGCTATAATTATATGTGAGCCAACTCATCAACGGGACTTAACTTACGCATTCACATTCCATCAA